GGTTAGCCACCACCATTTTGTCCGTCTGTATCTGGAAGTCCCACAGGATCTTAGCTCGGTCATTCTCTACCACCCTTGGGGGCATTTCCCATTTTGACCTTGGGACTTCCAGGTTATACTCGGCACAGATGTTCCTGTACACTATGCCGGCCACTTGGTTATGGCGTTCCATGTATGCCTTGCTTGCTAGCGTCTTGCACTCTGCTGTTATGTGCTGGATTGTCTCTGGGGCATCTTTACACAGCCTGCACCTGGGGTCTTGCCTGGTGTGATAGACCCCAGCCTCTATGGATCTTGTACTCAGAGCTTGTTCTTGTGCTTCCATGATTAGTGCCTCTGTGCTAACTGTACGTTTGTGTTAAAATATATATTTATAATTTTAATAATAATAATAATAAACTTCTCTTCTGTGTTGTTTTTAAAGAGATATTTGAGATAAAAGACATCTCTTTTAATGTTTTTCTACATTCATTCCAGGTATGGTACTCTAATTACATTATGCTTGTGTTGGAGCTCCGTTTGGCCAGTTTAGTTGCCCTACACTTATAAAGGTTCCTTTGTAAGTGCGCATCCGCCATTAGCGTGCTGCCTGCTGTAACCCATAATTTCCTTCGGGATTAATAAACTATTCTGATTCTGATTCTAAAAGACCGGATCCTCCAGCTAAAAAACATTTTCACTTCTCCAATATTCAATATTCAATATTCTCAATATTCAACAAGAAAATTTGGGACACAGATGACTTCATCATCACTTTTCCAACCGTTCCATCTCACAATTTCAAATTGTAAATTGTAAAATTGTGAAGACTGTAAACAACTTATCATCTATGTGTACATAACATGTTGTCTGTCAACAAGACTGAATATGGACAAGGCTGATTCTTAATATTAGATGCCTGAGATCCCTAACTCTCAAACAGCACTTCATTAAAAACAGGCATGATTCTGTCATGGAAATCACTGCACTACTAGTCTCAGGATCACTTCCAGAAATCATTGTCTGCCACGTCACCCACAAATGCAGATGAAGGCAAAGAAAAAGCCTTATGTGGACACAATCCAGAAACACTGCTGTTATCTCTGGGCCAGAGCTCATTCAACATGGACATGGAGTAAAAGAACTGCTCTGTGGTCACATGAATTTACATTTTTGGAAAACACAGACACCACATGCTCCAGGCTAAAGAAGAAATTAATCATCTGGCTTGTTATGAGTGCTCAATCCAAAAGCCTGCACCTCCATGATATAACACCTTATAAAACCACCTTTTGCAGCAACTTCTTTGGTCTCTAATGTCATTGTGGAAGAATTTCAGCCCAGTCTTCCCAATGACTAATAAAAAATTCTGATTCTGAGAAACTTTAGCCCAGTCTTCCCTACAACATTGCTTTAGTTCAGTAAGGTTTGCAGCCATTTATTTATGCATAGCTCTGTTAAGGCTCCGCTGCAGCATTTCAGTCTGTTTGAGGTCTGGGCCATTGCAGCGTCTTGATTTTTTTTTTCTTTGTCAGCCATTCTGTTTTGGATTTGTTGTTGTGCTTGGAATCATTAGCCTGTTGCAAGGCCCAGTTTCAGCCAAGCTTTAGTTTCAAGTTGGTCTCACATTTGACTCTAAAATACTACGGCATGTTCTGCTCAATGACTGCAAGATGTGTGTAGCTGCATAGCAAGCCTTATTCATCATGACAGCTGCATCCACTCTACTTAGCATGGAAACTGTGGACAAATGAAACCCATGCAATCCCCCAGATACAACTCATTCATAAAGTATACACCGCTGCAGAAGTAAATACATGGATTTAACCCCACTGTTTCTTCCCTATTTTTTTAAATGTGCTCCAGTAGAGGCCACTTCCCTTGATTCTACCTGTACACTAAAACATGTAGTGTCAATAACTAAGGTTTAGTTAGCAGTTGACTACATACCTTATATAGTTCTTTCAGTCTCACTACAAATCACATTAAGAGCTATATCGGTCAAACAGTATCAAAAACTTCCTTAATGTTTTCTTATCGTGTAGCTCTGTCTGTACTGAATGAGTACCTCAGTGACCAAGGAGAGTCCCAGCAAACAGCAGGTACAGCATACAGCCAGCAGGAGCAGCTCACGTCTATAGCCTTGATGCAGGCAAGGAAAAAGATCAACCAGTGATGTCATCACACACTCCAGACCAACAAACTGTAAGGAACCAATTGCAACACACGGTTTGTTTGTTAGTCACATAGTATTCCATTTCTTCATTCATACATACTCTAACGTTGATTAGTACCTGACTATCCAACCCAAGCAGAATGATCATGAGGAAGAAACACACCGACCACACTTGGGGCACTGGCATCATGGCTACAGCACGGGGGTAAACAATGAATGCCAACCCTGGACCTACAAACAAATAATGTAAAGACAGCGAAGATGTAAATTATAGGACACAGAATCGTTATGTGTGGATACTACAGTATATTTTCTTATTGAATTTATCTCTATTATGGTGCTAAAGAAGAGGCCAAGGGATCCATCAATTTCTTTACAAAAACATCCTTTTTTGTTGTTATTGTTTTGTCAGCCACAGCAGTTTGCCTTGTGGTCTGCATTACAATCCATTTAAAATTCCTGTTTTCGCTTGTTATTTTAGTTCAGCTGCTCAACCATGTTTCTAGCGTCATAGACTTTTATTGCCTAGCCATACTGGTGTACTAGCTGTGGAAACTAATTTGGCATTATTGTCTTACTGATTCCCTCAAAAAGAAAAAATTAAAGGTTTGATGAGCCAGATTATTACTTATATATATATATATATATATATATACCAAAAATGAATTAATACCAATTAATTGCCTATAATAAATATAGTTACATGCCTCAACTATTAGCCACCTTCCCAAAGGGCCTGAAAGTTGGCAATCCTGTATTATTACCTGCTGATAATAATACAGGTTTGCCAACTTTAGCCTCTGCATTCCTAGTATCCACTTGTTAGCTTTAATCAGACTCACCTTAACTAAGATGTGTTATGGAACGGCTGTGTGCAGACAGGAATAGGACCCAAGGTGCAGACACTCGGAGGCAAAACTTGTTTAAGCCAAAATATCAAAAGAGAAAAAAAATGGCAGCGCAACATATGAGCTCTGCCAGAAAGCTTTTTATCATTGAAAGAAAGAAAAGAAGAATCATAAGATCTTCCCAAAGGGTGAAAAGTTTGCTGCCATGCAGGTTTCCTGATTATTTGAACAACACCAGAAAGCCTCAAAGAAAATGTATGAAACTGCCACTCTCATGTCCAGTATATAGTTGAACTGAAGTGAGACAGTACATGCCTGATTCTGCTACTTCAGAAATATCCACTCCTTGTTCATATGTCATGAAACCCAACACAGAGAAAATGGCAAAGCCTGCCACAATGCTCGTGGCACTGTTCAGCAGACACAAGTAGAAACAGTCCCTGCAATAAAATGAATACGGTAAGTAGAAATACTTAGACACAGATGTTGCAGACGCTGACGCTCAACTTAAAAGATGATCATAATGATCTTTATGACAGTTAGTACTGGACTTACTTATAACAGTTGTTATTGTAAGTGTTATAACTCCCAAGAGAAGTGAGGAAACCAAGGCCAATGGCATAAGAGAAGAAGATTTGAGTGCCAGCATCCATCCACACCTGGAAAGGTCAAACAAAATTATCGTGTGTCTGTCTGTAGTGCATGAATGTCACTGTAAAACATCTAGCTTTTCTGGTCTCGGTTCTCTATGTGCTTTCTTTACCTGGGCATCTAACAGGCGAGAGATGTCAGGGTAGAGGTAATAAATGATCCCATCCTTTGCCCCTGGGAGGGTAACACCACGTATAAGCAAAACAAATAGCATGACATAGGGGAAGGTTGCTGTAAAGTAGGCTGCCTGAAAAAAAAATAAAGCAGAGAAAAGAGATGGTAAAGAAAGTTATAGTTTGTTTTGACCTGTCATTTCATTATTTTATTCATATTTCTTTCTTTAGTTTTACTGTATTGCACGCTTGCTTTCCTAAATCCAGCTTTGGTGTGGCACATTAGTAGCATCTTGGGTGTATTACTCTTGAAATAAACAGTTCCCACAACGTTAATCAGATCACTATAACTTCCAGTGTAATGTTTAGCTTAAACGTGAATATTACTTACCTTTTGAAAGGATAAAAATCACACCAACAGCTTTTCTATATAGCTGCTCTTCTGATATTACTAATCAGTGCTTTAAAACATGATGTAAAGCTTACTAAATACTTTACCAAAACTGTTCTTTGGAAAGTTGAAAGAAACTTCAACTAACCCCAGCCAAGTTATGCTTTGTATCGGTTTTGCACCATTCAGATCTTACAATAAGAAACCTGTCACACACTGCACAGATAATAGTGAATCTTGTCCCCATTACTCATAAATTTCATGAATAACAAGTTCAAAAACCATACACTTCCGTATCAGATTAATTCAAATGAGTTCATAGATGGTTTTCATGCAAGCATCTGGAACGTAAACTGAATAGAGAATGGAGACATAGCTGCTGCATGTTCAGCAGTGTCCTAAAAGAACATAGGAAGAGACTATTTCATTTGACTATTTGGAGACTGCGTATGTTCATTTATGTAGCCAGAAAAAGACTTCCTTCATCTTCTTCATAAAAAGGACAACAGCACATGTCACAACAAGCATTGCTAGCAACACAATTCAAGATAAATGGCATGAGATGGGTAGCTATGACAGACAATTACATCAGGCAGTAATGACACTTATAATACAGGTATACAGGAAAACTGGGAGCAGGAGACAGACCAGTGCTTGGACATATAAGTGGGTTAGGAAACAGCTGCAGATGTCACATCTGTCACATTCTATTGAGCAACTTTTATGAAAAAATGTGGATAAAGGGGTAGCAGTAGATCAAAATATGAAAACAAGTCCTGATCAAGCATGGGTATGTAAGACTGGGTAATGACACACTGACTTAATGTGCTGTGCCCTCCAGTAGCTACTGTGCTTGTGTGCCTCTATTCTAGTGTTTCTAATGCATGCATTAACTTAGAGAATTGCAGGATGTCAGTTTGCAGATGTCAGTTTGTGTCATGGGGCAATACTCACCCCATGCACCATGCAAGCTACAGCAGCCACTAGCCAAAAGTTTCAACAATCAGAAGAAACATTTTTTTTTAAATGGTTGCTTGTACCTCCTGTGTTAGTGTCTTAACAGTGCAACAGTGCAGTTATTTGCTTTATAACTATGTGAAAATGTCTTCAAAAATACATGAATGGATGGTTCTAATTGCCAATTATACAGCCGATACTGTGTAATTTGACCAGCATGAGTAAAACAGAGAATAAAACTATGCTGTTCTGATGTTGGAGTTTTACCCAAGCTAACACAATACCCATTTAGCACAGAGTTATTATAGTTTTGCATTTTCTATTTTTTTTTTTTATATAGCATTTTATTTGGTTTTTAGAATGGGTTTGATGATTTCAGTTTAATCTTTATTGTTTGAAAATGTTGAAAATGTTCTGTTTGTTTCAGTATATTTTTATTTGTTTTAGTGTTAGTTTTAGTCTTTTTAAGATAGAAAGCATAGGTCAGAAACAAGATTTCAGAAAGTCAGTCTTAGACATCCAAAGTCTCAATAAACACGCACATCAAATCCTTATTATGTAGTTTGAAATTTTAAAATGAACAAATACTAAAAGTGAGTCCCTCAATATTTTATTATATTTTTTATTTCCAATTTCACAAAAAAATTTACTTTGTTTTCTTTTTTTCAAAAGCCTAGCTTTTATTTTTATTTTAGTTAACTAAGTTGCCTCATGTTAGTTTTTAGTTTAGTTTTAGTTAGCTCTAATAACCTTGGTTTAGCCTTCAAATATAAAATAACCCAATGATGTATACAAATTTTATGTGGAAATACATACATTCTGCAACCCTCTAATAAAAATTGATTTGATTTTTAATAAAGGCTCTTTTATTGCTAATTCAGACATCTTGGATTTTTGCACTGAGTCACTGTTTTTTGTTGTTTGTTTGCTGTCAACAAGCACGGTGTTCCACAAGGCTCTAGGTTAAATCCTCTGTTATTTTTTTAATGTACATTCTTTCACAAGGCCACATTATCAGGACTTTTAAAATCTTTTTAGAATGGTTTTATGATATACTATTACGAATTTTCTTGTTTGTTTTTTTAAAGGAAAAATTTTAAAAAAAAGTTCCGTTTTTAAATTACTAACCTTTCCTGTCGACTTGATACCCTTCCAAACACAAAAGTAGCAGATAATCCAGCTGAGGATGAGACAAAGGACCAGTTCCCATCGCAAGCCCCCAACTTCCTCAATACCACCAGAGACCTTTAAAACCCGACGCCTGGTCAAATGAAGGGAGTAGTGGTGTGGGTGAGAGGGAGACCGGGAGACCACAAATGAATGGCAGGTGAAAGGGAAGGACATGTGGAAATTGGGAGGGAGGAAAACTGAGTGCTAGATTGGATGACTGACAGATGACAAAAAAAAGTGTGGGAGGAAGTGGAGAGTTAAAAGAAAACATCTGAAAATGATCATAAAGAAAGGAGGAGAGAGGGAACGAGACAAGTAAGGGAGGGGAGTGAAAAAGGGGGAAAAAGCATTCTGTTTAACTTGTGTGAGTATATGCTTACTGCCAGAACTCCACAACAGGAAGAGTAGTGTTCAGTCTGGACGTCATACTCAGATTCAGATGGCTTAAGTTCAAGCACGAGTCTGGAATAGGGAAATAAAACATAAGCAAAGTAAAAATGCCCATTTACAGTGTCAAAGGTGTTGCCTTCAAATTATATCTCATATATTCTATATTCAAAACTATTACAGCACACAACAAGCAATGCATACAATAGTCACTGCTTTTTAGAATATACCAGTACTGTAGTACCTGTGTTCCAGTAGTGTCCACATGTGGCCCAAGGTAAATCCCCACTGAAAGACTGGAACAGGTAAAAGAACGCCCATGCCAGGATTATAATATAAGATGTTGCACTGAATGCGATGATTAAGTGACTGGCATAGCCCATGCCTAAAATGAACAAACAAATAAATAAAATTGGTAATGGCCAATTATTGAAACTGTTCTGTTCTTGCACAGCACCTAAAGTCTGAGAGCTAAAAGGTGTTGCAGCAGACGTAAGCTATATACAAGTGTAATGTCAGTCGAAACACTGTGTAAACACTTTCTCTTTGCAGAGGTTTACTGTATATAAATAAGGTCGTTGTGCGATGAAGCAGGGACATAAATGGAATGTAACCAACATATTTATGAAATGCATTCATGTGGTTCTTACACTTAACAATCATGCTTGTAGTAATCTTTTACATGAGCATAAATAATTTATCATTCTTCCTCTTCCAGTAGCAGTGATTACTTTCTTACTGGAAGTGTAAACAACTTCCCCTCTGGCACCTTGCCTCAACACTGTTTGTTGTTGGACCGAGACCATTTTTGGACACGGAGGAGGTCTCAGCGGTGTTTCTAGGGCAGGGGTCGGCAACCTGCGGCTCTTTTGTCCTTATACTGCGGCTCCGGGTGGTTTGGGAAAAAAAAGAGAAGTATTTAGCTGAAGTGTATTTTATTTGTGTTTAGTTCTTTTTTTAACTTGTAGTTCTAAATTGGAAGATTATTGTGATTTTGAAATATAAAAATAAAATTATATCTTATTATTTTTTCACCGCTCAAAATAAGCGGCACACTCGCGGAAGCCGGTGTACCCGCCGAAACGCCGTGCATTTATCGAGACTTTCGACCCCAGGTAGGCCAGTTATGGATCCTCGGATCCACATTATGTCAGCAGCTCCACCATGACCTATGTTAAAACAAACACCGCTCACGCCTCACAGATGACAGTTTACAGTCCTGCGTAAAGATGAAAGCCCCGAATTCCAGATGCTGTGCGCAGAGGTTCGGGACGATAAGTCTTATTGTAAACATATCAAGGCAGACCCGACGATGTTTGCATGAACACGCTTTTCAGCATCTCTTTATTGACC